CTGTGATTCTGTTACAGCTGGTTGATCTCATAGGACCGTTATGGCACTGGTTGGTACACAAATACCTGGCAGAGGGTTTGAAGTGCTATCAATAAATAAGTCTTAGCAGAATGAGCTCATTCTGAGAACCTTGAGCTTGTGTTGGAGGATTAGTCAAAATATATAAACAGAAATACTGGGAAAGGGTATTCCAGGCAGTGGTACTGGCTTGGTAGACAACCAGAGAAAGGAAGGTACAAATTTCGATGAAGCAGGCTTAAGTGATTTACAAAAAGAGAAGAACCAAAGTGCTGTTGAACAGGTGTTGAGTGCAGTCTGTGACATCATTGAACACCGTGGTGGAGGAAGTCATGTCAAGTGTAAGAAAAGGTCAAAAAGAGTGATAGCTGAGAAAAGGCCTTATTGTCATTTTTATTCTCTTTTCATTTCCTCTTCTTCCACACTAAATGAGACCTCTGCACACCCCAAGCCATTCTGCATATCTTCACCAGATTATTACTAAGGCACTACTTTGACCACACTGTCTGCACCTCTGTGGAATCACAAATCCCCATAAATTCTACACTACTTAGATGGAGTTTCATTTGAGGGCTCTCCTGATCTGGCCTATGCCAGCATAACCAGTCCAGTCCTTCATCTCAGTTATCCAAACTGTCTACTTTCCAAGCTCTGCTCTGAACCCTTTCTCTGCCATCTTGGTCTGCTCACACCCACCTCACCTGTGTGAGCCCCTGTTCTCCATTCCCACTATACCATTGCTGATACCGTTTTTGCAGCTTAAATGCTTTCATCCTTCATCAGTGCCCACCAAAATATCTAAGGCCTGTATTTCAGTTTCCAAAACTTTAAACTGTTACAAGATGGTAAATAAGGTTTTTTTCTTGTTGTTTTTTTAAAAAAGTGCTCATCAGTGCCTTACAGACAATAAACACCAAGCAAATGTTGAATAAATAATTATCTTTTATTTTCTCTTTTCCTCTTATGCCAAGAGTAATTATATTCCCTAGGTAAAGAGCCCTTCCAATTGTATAATGCCTCAAACTTCCAAAATTTTTAGCACAGCAGTCCAGAACACCTGATCTGGAGCCAGACTCTCTGGGTTCCAACCATTGTTCTGCCAGGTAACAGCTGTGTGTCCTTGAGCCAGTTATTAACTTCTTTATGCTTCAGTTTTCTCATCTCTGTAATGGGAAAATAAAGGCACCTACCTCACAAAGATTAAATAAGTTATTTGTAAGTGCCTAGTGCAATATCTAGTGCATAGTAGGCATAATGTGTGTGTGTCTGTGTATGCATATACCATATATAGATACATAGATATATATACACATAAAGTAAATATGCAGTAAATTTTAAGTTAAACAATTGTGGACACACAATTTAGTATCCACAGTAACCTCATAAGGTAAGCAGAGGCATTAAATAATTTCTTCACACTTAGTGATTATATATCCATTTCCTGTGATCTGTATCTTCTAATTTCTAAACTAAAAGTCAAAAAGTAGGAACTGACTCCACTGAGCTTCCCTAACACATATCTTAGATTCATAATACTTTTTTAAACACTAAGCATTGAAATTTACTGTTGATATTTTCATTATTTTTATTTAAAGTACAATAGTGGTGTCAATGGTACCATATCAGTGGTACATGACATGGCCCTTTCAGTAAGAAAAAAAATATATCAACAGCTTCTCTGCAAAAGTGATTATATAGGATTTCCCAGTCTTACAAAGAAATCCATATAGGTCACTTTCTACTTGACTATATTTTTCCTGCAATTGAGGAAAGATAAATTTATCATTTAAATGGCGAATGAAATTTTAGTAGAGAAGAATTAAAATGGTAAAATACACTACTCACTACACATAAGTAGCTCTATGTCTATCGTGCTATTTGGTAGGTAAAGACTTGTGTTTGCATTACCCTAAGGAAGAAGCTATTATTTTGTAGTATATAATCAAGTTGCACCTTTATAAATATAAGCTTTTTTCTTCTCTGAAAAAAAAGAAAACTTATTTTAAATACAAAAGACATTTGACATCTGTCAACAGCATACATTTTAATAATGCAATTTGTACTTGTAATCAGTATCTTCAATTAGAATTTTCAAAAAACTTTCAGAATTTTTCTCTCCAAGTTTTAAAATTCATTTATTGTAACTGTTAACATTTGAAAGAAGAGTTGAAATTCTAAATCAAACTGGAAAACTGAACAAAGAAATTTATTCTCTGGAAGTTACTAGTAAACTAAATAGAAAATCTTCCACTGTTCTGCTGAACTCCTTTGTTGTGAGAAATTTAAATCCTTTTCATGTGAGTGTTCAAACTCAAATGTTTTCCTTTTAATACAGACTACTTAATAAGAAATACCATGCTGGCAGTCAGCTTGGTATACTTCTCTTATTCTGTGGCTTTGCTTGTACATACTGCCTTCTTACACTAATCCTCAGTATCCAAGTAAAACAAGAGTCAGGAAGACAGGGCTTTTCTTTGTGATGTATGAAAAAGAAATATTTCTCACAAATCCAGGGCTGTGTGGCATATATTTTGCATCCATGTGTGATGGAAGTCAGCTTTCTGCCTTCCTGGCTATTAGCAAGAAGAATGCTAGCAGCTAAGCACCTCTGTGAGTGGGGCCTGGGTGTGTGTTTGGGTTTCTTCAACTTCTCATTTTAAGATATAACTGAACCAGGTCCTAAATGGTATGTGGTTTAGTTCAGGCAGGGAACATAAACAGAGCCAAGCCTGGCAATGCAAGTTGTATAGTAGCTTCATTGACCCTGCTGTTTGCCCAGCTGCAAGGTGACTCCCTTCTCATTCCCTAGCTGCCCAGCTGCTTCCTAGTGCTATTTTATTTTTCTTTTAAACTGGAGTTGCCAACCAAACTTCCCCCATAGGTTCAATAATTACTAAAAACAGGTAGCTTTCCAGTGACACATAGCTCAGAAAAAGCTTCCACTGCTTTGTAGTTTAGCCCTTAGTTTGTTCTTGGTCAGTACTTTCTTTGTATTTTTAAGAAATGACATTATCAGATTTTATGAAAATAGTAAAGGATCTTCACTAGTCCCATGCTTTACCCTTCAAAGTAATTATCTTTAAAAGGTCACTGGACTGAAATAATGTTTTCTACCTTTTTTAATAACCTGCAGAAATAACAGCTTATATGATTTAACTTAATTAATACATTCATTCCGGTCATGCTTCCAAACTATTTTAAAATTTACCTTTGAAATGAGAAAAATAAATTTTAATTACAAAAAACATTACCATAATCTCAACAACTATACCTTAGTTATAAAACTGAGTCTGAATAACTTTTGGGTATTTGCAAATGAAATAAAAATCTTTCTTCTGTGGATGAGCGTTTGACATCATATATGAGAAAAGGCCAGCACCCTGACATTTAGCACTGGGCACCAAGTTCTAGTGTCTTCATTGATACATCAGTTGCACTGGAGTATCACGCCTATGTATGTTATTTCCTTTAAGTAGTATAATTGTGCACAAAACACACAAGTTTCAAAATTTTCCCTGATGACTGACTCCATAGATAACAGCACATTGGAATTTTATTGGAAAACTGTGATTGTCAGGTAAAATTCTGAAAATCTGTGACTGTTATTCTTCTGTACAAAAGAACATAAAAGTTATATGTAGCTATTACTATAAAAGTAAGTATTCAGTATCTTTATTCCTTATTTGAGAAGATACAAAGTATGTATGTTATCAGGAGTACATTAAGAGATAACTCTACAGATCAATTTGATTTGGTTTTGTTTTTAATTAGCAGAGTGTAAAATTGGTAGTGTATTTCAAAGCCTAAAAAAAGTTGTATTCTGTAAGCCTGAAATTGAAATTCTGGAAATTTATCCTAGGAAATATGACACAATTTTGTGTATAAACATTTTTGTAACAATACTATGACCAGTTTTTTTAAAAACTGAGAATTCACTATATATGTTTACAATATACATCGAAATATATAATACAAAATGTTATGTTCCATATATTCCTAAATTTTACCAAAACAGCAATTAAATACATCATTTCCAAGAAGAGAAAGAAGATAGGATATATATGAATGGCTTCAACACTGCTTAATTATAAAGCAAAACAATGGAATAGCCCTAAAATGTTTAACAATATGGAGTTGGCTAAGTAATTATGGCAAATCATATTAAGAAATATTATAAAGCATTCAAATTATATTTTATAGGAATATTTAGTAATACTGGGAAATGTTCTAAAATACTAAATGAAAAGAATCATTAAAATTATGTATACAGGAGGATACTAGTTTTTTTAAAGGGATAAATATATGGCATTTTATAAAATGAAGTGTGTGTGTGTGTGTGTGTGTGTGTGCGCGTTGTGTATTTTCATAGGAAAAAGACTGGAAGGCTATATACCAAATCTTAACAGTGGTGTTCACTTATTTTTTATTTTCTTTATTTCCTTTTTGTATCATATGTTTTCTACTTGGATATAAAGTATTACTTTGAGGTCAGAAAAGCAGTTTTTTTAGAAACTAAAACTATATATAAACCTTAATATTTACATTTGGTATTTTGACAAGTAGCTTTTGTGTAATAAATTTCCATTAGTAAGAACTGTACTCAGTTGGAATTTTGGTTGGGCCAACACTTAGGAATGAATAAATGGTTTAGACAACAAATTAATAATGCAGAGGAGATTTTAGAGAAACACTTTTAAGCTTAAGAGAACTTTTTAAGTACAGTGAAAAGTATGGATAGGACTCAGTAAATCATTTTTTCATCAAAGCCTATCCCCTAAGTGCCTTTTCCTGGCAGGTGAATTTGCATATTTGTTTGGTTTATGCAGAAGCAATAGGCCGTAATTCATTGTTTTATCAACAATCTGACTTTCCTTTGCCAGTTAGAAGGTAATATTTTTAACACATGTGTCATATAATGGTTCCCATTCACTGTATAAGTTACAGGCAGACATCTTTTAACAATTTGGGTCACTTTTTCACAGGTGATGAAGACATACCATATGTATCATGCAGAGAGCATCAGTGCAGAGAGCAAGCTGAAAGAGGCTGAGAAACAAGAAGAGAAGCAAATTGGAAGATCTGGAGACCCAGTCTTCCACATTAGACTGGAAGAGAGACACCAGCGACGCAGCTCTGTAAAGAAAATTGAAAAAATGAAAGAAAAGGTAAGTAAAAATATATTGCAGAACCCTTCTGCCCTCATTTGCAGAGGCAGTACCGAACTAAGAACATATGCAACAGCTGATAGACACACATTGTAAATTATTGTGGAAAGACATCCACTTCCCCCCATGGGAATGAAAAATGCTTAAGACACATAAAAATCATGTAGTAACAGCTGGCCATCATTTACTGGTGAATGCCAAGTATTCAGTACAAATGTGGAGAACTTGAATATTAACAAAAAGATTTCATTGTAAATGGGCCTGAAGCCCAACTACATTGTTCTTATTCCCCATAGCTGTGTAATTTTAGTTTGTTATTTAAATCAGTTTAAAATATACTTTTCACAGAGGACTTCAGGGGTCATTTGTATATGTGGAGTAAATTGCTTAGATTAATAAAAACTCATGTATGTTTCTCTGTCTTATTTTTAAATGATTTTACTGTCTTTTTCTATGCCTGGATCTTCTTCATTTCCAGAGACAAGCTAAGTATTCGGAAAATAAGCTAAAATCCATTAAGGCACGTAATGAATATCTCCTAACACTTGAAGCAACCAATGCCTCGGTTTTCAAGTATTATATTCATGATCTTTCAGATTTAATTGATGTAAGTACTTGAAGCTTTTGTATTTTCTATATTAAGATGGAATTAACAATAACTATACTTTACTAATTGGAAATCAACATCATTTATTAAAATAATTTTATGTAATGTAATACTCAGAAAAAAATACTTCGAATTCAACTGTGCATGATACTTAGATCAAAGGTTCAATCCGTAGCCTGTGGGCCACTTGCTACTCTGGACAGCTAGTTTTGCAGTGCCACAGGATTGTAAACTTTTAACTTTATGTGGTTTTGAGCAGTATTTTTCATGACTTGATTGCCTGTCCTCAGCATGGTCTGCATAGGAGGCAAAGGGCGCAGATCGGTGCTAATTCTGCCTGTACACCCACCTGCCCAGAGTTTTGCAGACGTTACATGCGCTTGTGCAAGTTTGGCGAGTAAAACTCAGCAATTATCCATAATAGTATTTTAACCTACCTACACATGTGTGTGCCTGTGAAGATAGGTGTTTATTGTTATTAGGCAGACATGTAAGTTTTCTTATTATTAAACTTGGGCTTGTTGTATTATTTTGTAAAATAATTTAAGAAGTTAAAATAGTACAAAAATGTCAAACCTTTTTTTGCTCTTGTCATTATAATTACATATACAACAACATCACTAGTACTAGAAATGTTGTAATAAAATACATATATATATGTATATACATTTTTTTTTTTTGTACTGGGGATTGAACTCAGGACCTTGTGCTTGCCAGTCAGGCATGGTGCTACAGAGCTACATCCCCGGCTCCTTACATATTTTAAAATAAAGGGGGTTTCGGGTTGGGGATGTAGCTCAGTGGTTCCAGTGCCCTGCCTTGCAAGCGCAAGGTCCCAAGTTCAATCCCCAGCACCAAAAAAAAAATAATTAATTAATTAATTAAAGGAAGTTTTGTTACTTACATAATTTAACTGTATAATAGATTTTATATGTAGGCTGAGACCATTCTTCCTCACTCAGTGCATCCTAGACAAACCAGAAAGTTGACACCCACTATGAATGTGAAAACATGTGCACATTAAAATTAGTGAAAAATAAATTGTTGGGTTCAAGATGGGAATGCCTGGTAAACTGATCCAGAAAGGTGGCTTGATCTGGAGTGCTATAGCCCTATGTTCACTGATTCAGATATGTTTATTGGGCCTCACCTTTGAGAGATGCTGAGGTTCTATGAAGCCACATTCAATCCTTGCCCTCTGGAATTTAAAGCAGAGAAGAAAGACAGGTACTAAGCAATGGCCATACAAATGATCGCTTTATTATAGTTCTGATAAATACAGTGAAGCAAAATAAGAATCCACATTGTCCACTTTTATAGATTTATCTAAGTCTCCTTTTTTGCTAGGATATGATATAAAAAGCAGCATGCATTTAGAATTCTCCAAATATATATTCACAATTACATTGTGTTTACTAAAAAGCCCTAAGTACCATAAGAAAAGCACAGATAGGGCTGGGGATTTAGCTCAGTGGCTTCACCGCCTGCTGCGCAAGTGGAAGGACCCGAGTTCAATCCCCAGTACCAAAAAAAAAAAAAAGAAAGAAAAGCACAGATAAAGGGATACAAATTCTGAGTGTAATCTGGTGGAAATTTATTTATATTCTGCTTTGTATTATTGGATCCAACAGTTCTGTGATATTGTAAAATTATTTTTTATGACTCATAGTAGCTGTAATAATTTAAACATACAGTAGGTTAAAGCAATTATTTTATGGTGAATTTGTCTCATGTATTTAGCTGTTTAAATTAGAGCTACAGTTTGGGATTTCTACAAAAGAATGAGAGAGGGAATTATTTTTAAGCTCACTACACCCTTGATGTGTTTTTTTCTTTTATTTTAAACTCGAAACAAGTTTATCTCATAGCATAATTTCTTTGTACAGACCATGCAGTAATAAATTAAACCAGGGAAAACTTTTTTTTCCTGTTTTCATTTGTTACAAATATTTCAACCAAGTCACTATCACTAGATTGTTTCATATGCAGAAACCTTTTTTTGTTGTTTTTAGAACTCATTTCTTCTGGCACTATGGTGAAATAAAAGGAATTTTTCTGTAGGACTGCCCATTGATTTTCTGAATAAAATATTCTACTAAGTTTCCTGAATAAAATAAAAAATTTTGTGACTGCTGTTTTGAAACTTGGAGCTATAAGGCTTCTACAAAGCATATAGAATATATAAAGAATTAGTTCTATGTAACTTCTCTACATACTTGTTTTGATTTAGAACTTACTTTAGTGCTTGGAATAGTTGGCTAAGCCAGTATTTGCACAAGGAAAACTCTATGTGTTAAAAACTCCATGTGACCGGGGATTTAGCTCAGTGGTTTCGCCGCCAGCTGTTCAAGCACAAGGACCCAAGTTAGATCCCTGGTACCAACAAAACAAACGAACAAACAAAAAAAAAAAAGGATGTAAAAACTGCATGTGTTTCTTTAATACCTACAAGGTATCAAGCACTGTTTTTTATTAGTACAAGTTTGCAATACATAATGAATATATTCATTATGGGAAGTTGATACATATACTTATCTCATCTTAGTCTTTTTTACTTACCTTCCCCCTCCTATCTATAAAAGGTCTACCTCCCTATTTCCTAACTCTTATACAAGAAACCATGCAATATTTGACCTTCTATGTGTGATTTATTTCCCTTAACATTATGGCCTTAAGGTGCATCCATTTTCCTACATATGACTCAGATTTATTTTTCTTTATGACTGAGAAGTACTCTATTGTATATAAATAACACATTTTAAAAAAATTTTTTTATTGATCTGTTGATGATCATATGGTTTACTTCCAAGATTTAACTATTGTGAGTTGTGCTACTGTAAACATGAATATTCATGATCACTGTAATATGATGTGTTTAAATCTTCTGGGAAGATACCCAGAAGAGGTATAACTGGGCCAAATGGCATTTCTATTTTTAAATTTTTGAGGGCTCTCTATATTGATTTCCATATTGGTCGTACTAATTTTCATTCCCATCAACAATGTAGCAAGGTTCCTTTTTACCCACATCCTCACCAGCATTTCTGGTTGTTTGAGTTTGTGATGATAACCATTCTTTCTAGGGTAGGAAAGAAACTCAGTGTTGTTTTGATTTGCACTTCTTTCATGGCCAAAGATGCTGAACATTTTTTTAGGTACTTATTGGAAATTTGTACTTCTTCTGAGAAGTATTTATTCATTTTACTTGGCAATTTTTTGGTTGAGTTTTTTATTGGGGGAAGTATAATTTTTTGAGTTCTTTATATATTCTAGATATTACTCCTCTATGTAAAGAGTACCTGGTAAAAAATTTTTCCCATTCTCTAGGTTGTCTCATCACTCTTGGTTGTTTCCTTTGCTGTGCAAAACCTGTTTAGTTTGATACAATCCCATTTGTTAATTCTTGATGTTATTTCTTGTGCATTTGGAGTTCTGTTCAGAAAGTCTTTGTCTATGACTATGTCTCCAAGAGTTTTACCTGTTTTATCTTCCATAGAGTCATTGTTTCTGTTTTAATGTCTAGATCTTCAATCTATTTGGAGTTTTTTAGTATATGTTGAGAAGTATGGTCTATATTCGTTGTTCTGCATTTGGTTAATCAGTTTTCCTGGCACCATTTGTTAAAGAACTTGTCTTTCCCCCAGCATATGTTTTTGATCCTTTTATCAAAGATCAGATGGTTGAACATGGCTGTGGTTGTTTCTGTGTCCTCTGTTCTGTTGAATGCTCCATTCTGTCTGACTGATCCATATATCTGTTTTTGCCAAGCATTATTCTTGACAATGGGGATACACCAATGACTAAAACAAAGTCCTCACTGTCATGGAGTGTACGGATGTGTTGGCGAACAGACTATAAAGAAATTTACACATATGTAAATAAGTAGTGACATTACCATGAAGGAAAATATAACAGACCTATGGGGGTGTGCTTTTGATGGATGGTCAAGGAAAGCCTGATATTTGACCAGAGAAGTTAGCAGGGGAGCTGCATGGCCACTTGGGGAAGGAACCCACATATGGGGGTACTAGCAGGCAAGAGCTGTGGAAGCAGAGGTGTGTTCCCTGTAGGGAGAGGGCTACCCTCTCACACAGGGTACATTCTGAAGGCAGAGGTGCATTGGCCGGATAGGGGTGTGTTCTACAAGCTCACTATGTTCACCAGATACCAAAGACCAGTCAGGCTGGAGCTGAGTAAGGAGGGAAAGATTGAGAGAAGTCCACAGAACACTGATCACTTAGGGTCTTTTGGACAGTGAGATGGTTTGGGTTTGTTCTAAGTGTGATAGAAAACCTCTGAGGAGTTTTGAGCAGGGAAGTGGCACTGCCTGATTGACATTGTAAAGACTGGCAGCTGAGTGGAAGTCAGTCATGAACACAAAGAGCTATATCAAGAGGGTTGTTGTGCAGTTTCTCAGCCTAAAGATGATGCTGGCTTGGACTGGTATGACAGTAACAGACCTGTAAAAAGTAATAGAATGCAAAATATATTGAAGATACAGCTGATAGAAATTTGATATAGGTGTGAAAACAAAGATAGACTAAGATTCAGGTCCTAACAGAGGACTCCTAGGCTAGTGATGGTGCCATTGACCGAGATGTTGAAGGGTGAGGCAGTTAGTTCTGTTACATCTAGTAAGATTTAGGTAAGTACAGGACACCTGTGGGGAGATGCAGAGGAGCACCTGTAATATTCTTGAAATGTACAGGACAAGAATAGTATATCAGGATTATGAAAATCTCCATCATTATCATGGAGAGTTACTGATCTCTTACTATGTGACTGGCAGGTTTGTTAGCATAATCGCATCTAATCATCATAACCCTATGAAATAAAAACTTTTTTTCTAACTTATAGATTTTAAAATAACTAAAATAAAAAATAAAAATTAAGGCTTAGCCAAGCTACATAACTTCCCTAAGGTAACAATAACAATAAGTGGTAGGCTTCAAGCTTAAGATTTTTGCCAGGGATTTAGCTCAGTGGTTCCACTGCCTGCT